ATAATAATAGATAACATTTCTATAGCGTTCTATCCCATACGAGTATAAGCTCTATGCTCTGAGATCAGTCGAGGATCACAGAGACGACTAGGCATTGTCTAGGAACAAAGTGGTCATCTTAAACAGGTGACCATTCTGGACAGTGTCTTTATAATGTACCCAAAATAAAACGCAGAGGAGGTAGGGGGGGGTGTCGGAGATTTGGAAGTAAACTTTTGTACAAGTGTATATCCTGAATGTCCGAATCATTTTCTTATCGTAACTTTGGGGGAACTTTTTAATGCATCCATAGAACTAACTTGTTTTTCCTGGTCATCTAGTTTTGCTTTTCTTTTTTTTTTTGTTTAATAATTATATCACTGAAATTTCAAAGTAAAATAGTCGCTAGTGTCTTGGACAGGTAGTAGTTAGAACAGGTACTACTGCACTCGTCTATGGTTATGCTTCAGCCCACGTCTTGGTCAAGAACAATACAGACAATAATGTTTTCATTAGGACAGATTTTATCAAATTCCCACCATTGTGTAGATCAAGAAAATCCGGATGAAAATTGCAAAGAGGATACTGAATATCAGTTGCGAAATTCTATCACGTGGAGACTAAAAATCTTTGTCTTGTAAACAGATTAGCAGAACGTGAGACCTAAATCACATCGTTGGCCTAATTAGGATCATGTGGTCTGCCATGTGAGCGGCCGTAGTTCAACTCCACAAATGAGTCCCTCGTGGTGTGGACTTGTTTGTTTCTATAAATTCATTGTTTTCCACCCACCTGGTTTGGGATTTTTTGGAGAAGGAATTTAGATCAACGGGCCAGTCTCTTTCAGTATCGTTGTGTGTTGAAGGGTAATTGTTATATCTGCACCTTACCCTGGATCTACAAGTGCATGCCCCCTCCCCCCCCTCCCCCCACCTTTCCATAACCCCGAGAACAGGCAACCCACACAAGAGTATAGTCTCTGAGCATTTCTAGACTATAGTGCATGTCCTGAAGTTCCTAATTGTTCTCCTATCGTAAATGATGGGAAACTTATCATATGGTATGTGGAGATTTACTTATTTCCCTCGTCATGTAGGGGCTGTGGGTGTTTCTTTTGGTTGTTCTTTTGTTTGTTTCTTGTTGTTTGTTTTGTTGTTGTTGTTGTTGTTGTTGTTGTTTTTGGGGGGGTTGCTGGTTGTTTGTTGTTGTGGGGGGGGGGGGGTTTGGGGGGGGGGGTATTAGTTTGTTGTTGTTTTTGTTCGTTTTTGTTTTCTTTGTTTTATCACTGTCTCAAATAGCCTCAAACAAGCGGAAGATTTGCAGCGGCGACGCCACGTAGGTGAGATCAAGTTAGTGAACAAGATGTACATGCGTGAAAGGAAGATTAACAGTAAATCTCTGTCGAGCCGATAATCCTGTTATCGTTATCCTGGTAACGCCCAAGTCATATATAACCTTAGGTCACCGTCTAATTTGTGTACGTGTTTGTTTGAATAAATCAAGTGTCACGACTCAATTACGGGTGTTTAGTGCAAGTGAAAAGGAAGACATGCTCACAGAAGCAAACAAAATAAGTGAAAGAAAAAAAGTAGCATCGGCCTCCCAGACACGGCTAGCAAGCATTTTAGTTTTACTTTCAGCTAGGGTTTTTTTTTCTCGCCGGTCAATTTGATAGACTCTATTCTCCAACTGCTCATTACAACAACAAAAAGCAACAAGTAAGAAAACCATTAATTGCTTCTCTGAAACCTATCCACCGCTTTTCGAATTCCAGCCACTAATTTTGAAATCAATAGAAAAAGATGAGTCAACTTTTGAGACCTCAGAAAATACATTGCTTCAGGCTATACAGATAGTCCTCAACTGCGGGCAATTGATAGTTGTACATATTTGCCAAATGTTTTTTCTCTATCTTTTATGTACACGTATATATTAAATAATTATTTATAATTTATTAATTCGTTTCTTTGAGTTTTTCTCTTTTTGTTACCAGTTAATGTTTTTGTGTATTTATTATTTAACTTGTCAATCTTTCTTTTGTGTGTGTATGTCTCTGTGTGTATGTGTGTGTGTGGGGGGGGGGGGGGGGGGGGGGGGGAGAGAGAGAGAGAGGGAGAGAGAGAGAGAGAGAGGCAGACTCACAGAGACAGAGAGAGAAAGAGACAGACACACACACACACACACAGAGAGAGAGAGAGAGAGAGGGGGGTATGTGTGCATACGTTTGCTCCTTTGTTTACAATCCGTTTGCTTACCGCTTAGCGTTCTTTTGGGACCCACAAATAACCAATGGCCCCGTTTGTTTGTTTCTGATGACATTAATATAGTGTAAAGCCCATAGAGCCTGCTGTTGAGCGGGGATATGCGCTATACAAATGCTATCTATTATTATTATTATTATTTATACAGGTCTGCACGACCTGTATTAATGTTGATTATGTTTTATACCAATTTTAACCCAATACTTATTTTTTTAAACTCTCACTCTCACCTCTCCCCTCTCCCCTCTCCCCTCCCCCCCCACACCCCCACACCCCCACACCCACCCACCCACACACAAACACACACATACACACACGCATTAACTTGCCCCACCCCAGGATATGGGCTTACTGGCTCATCTGGAAGATCTGGACGAGTTCACAGTGTTCGTCCCAACAAACAAAGCTATGGAAACACTGGACTACCCCATGGTGAGAAGCCATGCTGTTTTCTTCTTTTGTGTTTATGTTTATTTGTTCGGGATTTTTTTTTTTTTGGTTGAAATTTGACGACCACCGAAACTAAAATAGGGTTTTGTTCCAGAGAAATAATGTTCAAGCGTGATCTGATCTGAACCGCCATCTCTGCGTGTTGAATGAGTTTCAGGAAGTCACGTTAGCGCAAGCTCATGATCAGGCTCTTTACCCCAGCGACCAGCTGAGTTGCTGTGGAGCTTTACAATTTGAATTTTTATGCATTTACAGTTTTTGATCAGTTTCTCGTCCTTTGCTTTTCCGGATATTGAAAAGCAATAATTCTCTTAACGAAAACCAATACAGTTTTATTTACTCACCTGCCCTCCATTTCAGAGGGAATCACAATATCACATGTTTTTAAAAATTGTAGTATTATGATTAATATGCGAGTATTCGTTTGAGAAGCCTTTTTGTCATTGATGAAAATATATTGCAGGCGCGCTGGTGTATTCTCCTTCTTCTACATCCTTTAATTGTTCTACCCTGCTATTCAAGTCCTCGTGAAAAGGAGCAATTAATGATCGAGCATGCCACAAATTGGCACTCGTAGATTTGAACTTTTATTTTTAAGGACATTATTATCCAGTTCCGTGAAATGTTCAGGGGAGCCCAAAAAAAAACCCCACACCTTTGCCTCTCTGAAAAGCCAGTTGCTTTAAATATCTTCAAAACACTTTCACTGCCTTTTTTAATAAGATGTCGATACTAGACTCCGACAGAAATGTGCGCCGTGTTTTCAAAGATCGTTCATAACAAGATAGTTCTTTCTGCCAAAAAAAGGGTCCGCGCATTGCTTCAGATGGCGCAGCAGTCTTTGTTTTGAACTGTCAGGTGGAATCGATAACTCAATTTACGGCAAAAACTGGAACATACTGTCTTTTAATATGTGTGTATATATGTTTGGGTGAGTGTGTGTGTCTTTGTGTGTGTGTGTGTGTGTGTATGTGTATGTGTGTGTGTATGTGTGTGTGTGTGTGTGTGTGTGTGTGTGTGTGTGTGTGTGTGTGTGTGTGTGTGTGGTGAAGCACAAGACCGGTGTGCCAGGATCAGTACAATAAGGATGTATCTTATCTTATCTCGTATAACTTCAGAGATCATCTCACCCGTTATCCCTTCTGTTCTTTCATGATGCCCTCTTGACCAGAGCCCAGAATTCCTCAAATACTACGTGGTTCCGCGGTTAGTCTTCACACCGACGGTGATGAACAGCGATCAAGTGGCCACTCTTTTGGGACAGACTCACAGACTGGAGCTCACGGCCACGGATGATGGGGTGAGGTTTTTGCTTTGCTGTTAACACCAAGTAGTTTTAAGCAATATTATAAGGGCTCGATTTCGAGGGTCAGCTCCGTACTCGGGAAAAGAGATAGAGACCCTGATCTCTATTTTCTCTCTCTCTTTCTCTCTCTCTCTCTCTCTCTCTCTCTCTCTCTCTCTCTCTCTCTATCTATCTATCTATCTATCTATCTATCTATCTATCTATCTATCTATCTATCTATCTATCTACATATCTGTCCATATATCTATATATCTATCTAATTGCCTACCTCTCTCTCTCTCTCTCTCTCTCTCTCTCTCTCTCTCTCTCTCTCTCTCTCCCTCCTTCTCTCTCTATCCCCCACTCTCTCGGTCTGTCTCTCAATACAATTCTGTTTTAACACATTGACATGTAGATAGCGCTATAGCTTTTACGCACCTTTAAATGTTGCATACAATGAACGCGTATCCAATAGGGCCTGGCCTTTGAAATGTAAAGATTTGTTGTGAAGTAACACAAGGTCATATAACAGCCGAAGATTAGAAGTGTCACAAAAGAGTAACTAACACAAAACAGATAGATGATACATAAGGACCAGATATATTAAGAAAGGAAATAAGGAGCAAATCACACCAGAGCACCTGCCAACCACCCACAAAATGTAGAGAGAATGAGTATCTCAACGAAAGCGCGAGTGAGAGTGGGGTGTTTGACGAAAGGGTTTATTATCATCAGTTTTCGGAGAATCAACCTTATATACCCAGTGTACACTGCCAATCGGATTCATCGGATTCAGTCGTGACCAGCAAGATTTTCCTTCATGGATGGGGCAAAAGCTACCATTTTTGCACAACACGACCGAATTCAACTAAATTCGACTGCGACCTTCAAAGATCACAGATCGAATCGTTCATATTGTCTCAAAATGGAAGTTTTTGTTCTATCCAGGCTTAACAATCTTGCTGGTCCCGATTCAATCTAATGAATCCTATTGACAGTGTGCACTGGCTATAAGTAGCGCGTCT